ATATTATTTTTGTACATGATAAATATATGCTATATTAAAAATATAAACTTATTTAATTTTGATAATTTCGGTACTTTCGGTTCGGTATCGGTATTGCAAAGTTTTGTATCGAAAATTTTCGGTATCGGTTTTATGAAATACCATACCGAATAGTATCGATCGGAACCCTAGTAATAATAAAACTGGGATATTCTAGAATAGTAATGTTACGCAAAAACAAAAAAGACAAGAAACTGGAAAATACTAGTTGGATCAAGAAGACCCTGGCATGTTAAAGAAGATTCTGGTTAAACCTCCCGAAAAGGAAATTCCGCAGCTATTCGCGCAACCTGAAAAATTATAAAAGAAATAGCTTTTCTATAACAAGACCTTACTTAGGAGGAAAATCCAAAACTTGAAATTTTCAACCAATAGAAATCACTAAAGACTCTAACCAATCAGAATGAACTCTGAGAGAACAGGGGAACCCTTGAAACAACAATTCCAAAAATGGAAGTAGGTTTGAAGATCTATAGAAAATAAAAAAGATCTTAAAAGAATAACAAGTCTTTAAGTAAAGGATCACCAAAAAGAAAAAGATCTGGAAAGTTCTAGAGAAAGATAAACAATGACATCACATACAACAAATAAATAATGTAATCAGGTAAATAAACAATAAACAAATGGGAACCAATCAGAAATTAGTAAGAAAATAATATAAATTATTAAATAAAATAATATAAAAATATAATAAATAATAGAAATTAAAGTAAAAGTATTGTAAACAATTGAAGGAAAATATTCAATAATATAAATTAGTATTTTAAAAAAGTTCTGAAATAAATTGATGAATAAAAATATAAATAATTACAGTAACAATAAATAGAATTAGAATAAGAAATATAAATAATTAAAATAGTTAACATAAAAAATCAAGATTTGGAAAGACTTAAAAGACCTTCATATGAAACCTAGTTGGCAAACTTTTGAGTTAAGTTTTTAACCTTTTCATCTCAACTTCTGGAGCCTCTTAGGATCTCAAAGGAAAGGTTCAAAGGATCTGAATGATATCTTGTATCTATGGTTTCATAGGAAAAAATCTTTAAGAAAATAATGAACTTGTAAGAGAAATCCTTGCATTTTCTCTGAACAACTATTATGATACCTTAGGGGAAATCCTTGAAGTTTCTCTGAAAAATTAAATGATAATTTTTTGGAAACAATTCTGGATGAAAAAAAAGAAATTTGGAAATAAAATATTCAAGTAGAATTCTTGAAATTCCAAAAAATCAAAGGAAAACTCTTGCAACAAAAATCAAAAAAAATTCTAAAAAATATTGGGGTAATATTTGAACAGTAAAAAATCCTTGGAGAATAAAAAGAAGACTGAAAACTGGAAATTTTGTTAAAAACAGAGGGAGGATTGGATCAGAAATTCTTAATTTCTTTTGGAAAAATTGGAAGATCATCAATAGGACCGAAAAAAAGATTTTAGAAATTCCAAGTAAAGAATTTTAGATTTGTGGAATTTATCAAAGTAAATTGTGTTGAGAATGAAGAAATGTTTACGAAGAATTTGATGGCATTAGTATTTGGTATGATGATTCATAGATTTCTTATAGGATCAGGAAAGATCAGGTTAAGAGAATCGTGATAAGATTATAGAGGTAAGAATGTTATAAGTAAAATTGTTAATGTTTATAGGAAATGTAAAATCTTTTACCACAGAAAGTTTGTGATATTAATGATCTTTGAGTTCTACTAAGAGAAATTGGGGATAAACACTTCATCGAAGAATTAGAAGAAAAAGTAAATAATTACCAATCGATCTGAAAGAAACTTAAGGTTAGATATTAAAGCAATAAGCTTTAGGAAATGTAAAATCTGACTCTACAGGATTGTAGAAAATATTAAAATCTCTGATTTGTATAGAACAGATTTGTGAATAAATATCGCACAGCGAGAGTAAAGTAAAAAATTGATCTTTGCCAATCAATTTAGAGAAGCACAAAGAACCTTTGACAATCATTGAAATTTCATTGGATAAAATAAAAATCAAAACAAACTGACGACATCACTTGATTAGCAATGAATAGCCAATAAAAATAAGAATATAAGATGATGAAGTCACACGAGATTTAAAATTTTATTTACACAAGTCAAAAACAAAAATATAAATAAGGAAGAATTATCAAAGAAAACTTGAAAATTTATTAAGAAACTTAACAATATTACTTTATCAAACCAAAGTTAAAATAACAGAAATAATATTCTTTATTAATAATATACTATCTAAAAACCAATATTTAAAGAATAAAATATACATTTTTACAAAAGAAAATCTAAAAAGAAAACACACAAAAATTTTACAAGACCAATCAAAAGAACGAAGTGATGAATCATAAAGAAGTTATGACTCCAAATGTGAAAGAAAATTTAAAACCACAAAAAAAGAAAAGGAGAACCGAAAAAAAACAAAAGATGGAGAAATCCAATCCTAAAAAACTTGAAGAAGCATCAAGAAAACTTAAGAAGAAGAAGAATATCTCGTTAGAAAAATCCAATATGGTGAAAGAGAGAAGCCAAAACAAGAATGAAGATAAAGATTCAAGAAAGAAGAAGACAACGATAAACTAATATGAAGAAAAGCCTTAAAAAGCAAATTATTGTTATAGTCCATCAAAATACATAATTTGAAGGTGACAATGAAACAGCCGATATAATTTAGAAAATTAGCTAGAAACAATAGTTTTGTATAAACATTTTGAAACAAACTAATAATAGGAATTTGTAATCGAAATAATCGAAATACCAATATAACTAATAAATAAATCTTTTAGGATAAATAGATATTATAAAACACCAGATGTAAAAATCTAATAAAGCAAAAAGTATAAAACTGTTTATAATAAATAGAGGCATTGTTATAAACAGAGTTTTTGAACATATGTTTGAAGATATTGTGGAGAATTTCCAACCGAATTCAAGAATTGATTCACAATTCATGACTAATATATCTTCTAAACAAGATGATGTTTTTTGGAATAGATTTTTGTCTTTTGAGAAAGATTTATAAAAAAATTTAGATTTTGATTTTACAAGACCAAGTAAGTAACTTATCAAGAAGATAATTGTAATAATAATTGTGTAATAGTTTTTCATTGTGTTAAGATTTTAAAAAGCGATTGAATTGTGAGAAATTAATTTTACTCACACAATTAAATACAAAATTGAATTACACAAGATGCAAGTATGTAATGATGAAAACATGTAATGCAAAAATAACAAAGAATCAGAAGTTACTAAAAAAGGAAGAATTAAATCAGTGGAAAGATAGAATGAAGTGAGAGTACAATATAAAACAACAATACATACAACATTCTCTTGATATCACTATCTCCTTTATCAGATAATTCTAATTGGGCACGAAGATGACAATGTTTGCGAGCAAGTTTTTCAGAGCAACGAGCTGATTTCTCTTCAGTAAGGGAATCAATTCTTTTGTGGAGCTGGAGGACACCATTGCAAAGAGTGATAAGTTCTTCCCTCAATTGAATATTAGATATTTCATCAACAGGGCGAAGTGTTAAGCAAAAGTAAATTTCATCGTCTTCATGATTCTGAACAATAGGATGGTTCTGAATATTTTGAATATTTTAAATAACAGGAGGATAAACAATATTTTAGACATTAGGCAAGCGAACAGGAGGGAAATTGAGAATCTGACAGATGAGAGAACCGCGAGGAACATCACGGGGATTGTCACGTGCACCATCATAAATATTTTGATCATCAGTACCATCATCACTAACATTAGACTCTGATCTTTGCATACTATAAGAGCATTTATGATGAAAATCAGTAAGA